ACCAGTGTATGATACTGTCTCTGTCCACACACCAGAGTATTACACTGTCTCTATCCACACACCAGTGTATGACACTGTCTCTGTCCACACACCAGTGTATGACACTGTCTCTGTCCACACACCAGTGTTTGATGTCTGTCCACACACCAGTATATGACACTGTCTCTGTCCACACACCAGTGTATTACACAGTCTCTGTCCACACACCAGTGTATGACACTGTCTCTGTCCACACACCAGTGTATGACACTGTCTCTGTCCACACACCAGTGTATGATACTGTCTCTGTCCACACACCAGTGTATGATACTGTCTCTGTCCACACACCAGTGTATGACACTGTCTCTGTCCACACACCAGTGTATGATACTGTCTCTGTCCACACACCAGTGTATGACACTGTCTCTGCCCACACACCAGTGTATGACACTGTCTCTGCCCACACACCAGTGTATGACACTGTCTCTGTCCACACACCAGTGTATGACACTGTCTCTGCCCACACACCAGTGTATGACACTGTCTCTGCCCACACACCAGTGTATGACACTGTCTCTGTCCACACACCAGTGTATGACACTGTCTCTGTCCACACACCAGTATATTACACTGTCTCTATCCACACACCAGTGTATGACACTGTCTCTGTCCACACACCAGTATATGACACTGTCTCTGTCCACACACCAGTGTATGACACTGTCTCTGTCCACACACCAGTGTATGATACTGTCTGTCCACACACCAGTGTATGACACTGTCTCTGTCCACACACCAGTGTATCATACTGTCTCTGTCCACACACAAGTGTATGACACTGTCCACACATCAGTGTATGATACTGTCTCTGTCCACACATCAGTGTATCATACTGTCTCTGTCCTCACACCAGTGTATCATACTGTCTCTGTCCACACACAAGTGTATGACACTGTCCACACATCAGTGTATGATACTGTCTCTGTCCACACATCAGTGTATCATACTGTCTCTGTCCACACACAAGTGTATGACACTGTCCACACATCAGTGTATGACACTATCTCTGTCCACACACCAGTGTATGATACTGTCTGTCCACACACCAGTGCATGACACTGTCTCTGTCCACACACCAGTGTATGACACTGTCTCTGTCCACACACTAGTGTATGACACTGTCTCTGTCCACACATCAGTGTATGATACTGTCTGTCCACACATCAGTGTATGATACTGTCTGTCCACCCACCAGTGTATGACACTGTCTCTGTCCACACATCAGTGTATGATACTGTCTGTCCACACATCAGTGTATGACACTGTCTCTGCCCACACACCAGTGTATGACACTGTCTCTGTCCACACACCAGTGTATGACACTGTCTGTCCACACACCAGTGTATGACACTGTCTGTCCACACACCAGTGTATAACACTGTCTCTGTCCACACATCAGTGTATGACACTGTCTGTCCACACACCAGTGTATGACACTGTCTCTGCCCACACACCAGTGTATGACACTGTCTCTGTCCACACAGTATATGACACTCTCTGTCCACACAGTGTATGACACTGTCTCTGTCCACACATCAGTGTATGACACTGTCTCTGTCTACACATCAGTGTATGACACCGTCTCTGTCCACACACCAGTATATGGCCCCGTCTCTGTCCACACACCAGTGTATGGCCCCGTCTCTGTACACACACCAGTATATGGCCCCGTCTCTGTCCACACACCAGTATATGGCCCAGTCTCTGTCCACACACCAGTATATGGCCCCGTCTCTGTCCACACACCAGTATATGGCCCCGTCTCTGTCCACACACCAGTATATGGCCCCGTCTCTGTCCACACACACCAGTGTATGGTCCCGTCTCTGTCCACACACACCAGTGTATGGTCCCGTCTCTGTCCACACACCAGTGTATGGTCCCGTCTCTGCCCACACACCAGTGTATGGTCCCGTCTCTGTCCACACACCAGTATATGGCCCCGTCTCTGTCCACACACCAGTATATAGCCCCGTCTCTGTCCACACACCAGTATATAGCCCCGTCTCTGTCCACACACCAGTATATAGCCCCGTCTCTGTCCACACACCAGTATATGGCCCCGTCTCTGTCCACACACACCAGTGTATGGTCCCGTCTCTGTCCACACACACCAGTGTATGGTCCCGTCTCTGTCCACACACCAGTGTATGGTCCCGTCTCTGCCCACACACCAGTGTATGGTCCCGTCTCTGTCCACACACCAGTGTATGGTCCCGTCTCTGTCCACACACACCAGTGTATGGTCCCGTCTCTGTCCACACACCAGTATATGGCCCCGTCTCTGTCCACACACCAGTATATAGCCCCGTCTCTGTCCACACACCAGTATATGTCCCCGTCTCGGTCCACACACCAGTGTATGGTCCCGTCTCTGTCCACACACCAGTGTATGGTCCCGTCTCTGTCCACACACCAGTGTATGGGTCCCGTCTCTGTCCACACACCAGTGTATGGTCCCGTCTCTGTCCACACACCAGTGTATGGTCCCGTCTCTGTCCACACACCAGTGTATGGTCCCGTCTCTGTCCACACATCAGTGTATGGTCCCGTCTCAGTCCACACACCAGTATGTGGCCCCGTCTCTCTCCACACACCAGTGTATGGTCCCGTCTCTGTCCACACACCAGTGTATGGTCCCGTCTCTGTCCACACACCAGTGTATGGTCCCGTCTCTGTCCACACACCAGTGTATGGTCCCGTCTCTGTCCACACACCAGTGTATGGTCCCGTCTCTGTCCACACACCAGTGTATGGTCCCGTCTCTGTCCACACACCAGTGTATGGTCCCGTCTCTGTCCACACACCAGTGTATGGTCCCGTCTCTGCCCACACACCAGTGTATGGCCCCGTCTCTGTCCACATACTTTGTATTTCGTCATTAACATCTCCACACACATATCGCACTGCGAGAGATACTTAGAGTCTTGTCTTAGTCTAATAGTAACATTTTGAAATCTACTGACCTTGTTACCTTTCTCTTCCGATATATTTAACATTGCAAATTTCATTATGATTGATGGATAATGGATCTGCTAGATCCTACCTGTACTGTTCCACTTTCTTCAAGCTCGTTTGCCAGTTCCTTTCTGACAATGTTTCGTAAATTTCTGTTTAAAAAAATTATACTCAACATTTTCTTTACTTAATACTTGTTAAGCTCAATCATCAACTCTGTCATGTTGCTGGAGGTCTATGTGAGAGGGAATCCATACAAGCTCACCTTTCATATACCTTTTGATGAGTTCCAAAAGTTTTTCTATTCCCGAGCCGGGTCATAGGTCAGGCTCGTCTGGTGCTAGCCTGGTCAACAGACTGTTGCTGCTGTTGACCCGCTGACTCGTATATCCATCACAACCTGGTTGATCTGGCACCTGGTGAAGATATTTGTCCAGTTTTCTCTTGAAGACTTCTACACTTGTTCCAACAGTGTTTCTCATATCTTCTGGTAAGATGGTGAATAGGCTGGGGCCATGGATGTTGATACAGTGTTTTCTTATTGTGCTCACTGCATCCCTGCTTTTCACTGGGTCTATTTTTGGACTTCCTCCCATATGTCTCACTCCAGTATGTTTTTACGGTAGTATACAGATATGGGACCAGGCCCTCAAGTACTTTCCAGGTATATATTGCCATGTATATTTCTCTCCTCCGCTCCAGTGAGTACATATTTAAGACTTTAAGGCAGTGGTTCCCAAACTTTTTCAGCTTGTTACCCAATTTAACATGCCACATAAAGCATGTTACCCCTTTCACAAAATGTTGTTATTATTGATATATATGGCTAAACGTGAACGTATACAGCCTCGCATACTCTGCTAATCCTAGCAAAACCATTGAAAACGTAAGAACCACACATACATTATATATAAAATTAATAATAGCTACAAATTCACAGTAACAGTGGGTAAATACTAACTATATACTGCACAGGGCAGTACACATACATACCAGCTTATGTCTACCTCGGCTGATGCTCACAGATAAACTGACAGTGTGAAATAGAGGCAGCCTCAGGAAGTGAGTGACGCGTACTGGACAGGTCGATCTGGGCTACCGAGTGACTTTTGTCCTGAAGCATACTTGTCAAAATACTTTTGGGTTTCCACACACTTAGCTATATATTTCTTCTTTTCTAATACTGTATATTAGTTTTTGATGTTTATTGTTATTTGGTTTAACTTTATTACTTACTTATAATAGGTTTACTTTACAACTTTATATACTAAGACAAAGTTAACAATAATCCTCATACCGGGTACCGCATTGTTTTCTTGATTTTCAGAATTCATAACTTTTTTTCTGTCACCCCTCCATTACCCCCCAAAAATGGTTAAATTACCCCCAGGGGGTAATTTACCCCCAGTTTGGGAACCACTGCTTTAAGGCATCCACAGTAATTTAAATGCTTTACTGTCTTTATGCGGACTGTAAACGATCTCTGTATCCCAAATCTGATATCTGTCCTGCCTTGAACGAGGCCGTCAACACTGAACAATATTCCAAATGAGACACCACCATCGATTTCAAAAAGTGTCACCAATGGCATTTTTTCCCTTGTTTTGAAAGTTCTCATTAACCACCCTGTTATGTCCCTGGCTGTCCTGACACTGGTCTTGTTGTGGTCTTTGAAAGAAAGCTCAGCTGACATAATTACTCCCATGTCTTTCACGTGTTCCTTTCGTTCTATTTTATAATCCTTTAGGGTTTTGTATACAGTGACCGTCTTGAGGAAGGTTAAGGAAGGTCAACACCAGCACCTCACCAGGACACAGTATACAAAAGAAAGGTTAGAACCTACCCAGGACACAATATACATAAGTAAGGTCAGCACCTCACCAGGACACAGTATACATACGTAAGGCAAATACCAGCACTTACCCAGGACACAATATACACAAGGTCAGCACCTACCCAGGACACAGTATACATAGGTAAGGGCAACACTAACACCTACTCACCATATTGACGCCTCTGGTGGCGATGGCGAGGGCGGGGGGCGTGGAGTGGGAGTGGTGGGCGTGGTGGGCGTCGGCAGCAGCGTCAGGACTGAAGACTGAGTCGTGAGACACACTCAACCCCTGGTTGTAGGGACCCCCACTGCTCCTCCTGGGGGAGGAGGGGGAGGGAAGGGAGGACTACGTCAGTCAGCACTCTTAGTAACTTCACTGTCAATCTCTACTAACTTCACGAGATAAAAAATTATCAATTTCCCTATATAAAAGGAGATCGTTTTTATCTAGTGTGAGGCTCGAAAAATAACTATTATTGTCAGATTCTTTCTGTTTATTCAGTCAATAGTTGAGTGACTAGTCAAGTTCGACGTAGTGAAGGAAGCATTTTATTACCCAGTACTGATTATAATTATTAATGTGTCCTTACTACCTACAAACACTACAACAACACTACTACTACTACTACTACTACTACTACTACTACTACTACTACTACTACTACTGTACTTCGCTAATCAAACATCAAATGAGAAAATAAAAGGAAGAGTTTTGTTCCTCCCCACTCACTACCACTGAAACTCTTCCCCACTCACTACCACTGAAACTCTTCCCCACTCACTACACTGAAAACTCTTCCCCACTCACTACCACTGAAACTCTTCCCCACTCACTACCACTGAAACTCTTCCCCACTCACTACCACTGAAACTCTTCCCCACTCACTACCACTGAAACTCTTCCCACTCACTACCACTGAAACTCTTCCCCACTCACTACCACTGAAAACTCTTCCCCACTCACTACCACTGAAACTCTTCCCCACTCACTACCACTGAAACTCTTCCCCACTCACTACCACTGAAACTCTTCCCCACTCACTACCACTGAAACTCTTCCCCACTCACTACCACTGAAACTCTTCCCACTCACTACCACTGAAACTCTTCCCCACTCACTACCACTGAAACTCTTCCCCACTCACTACCATTGAAACTCTTCCCCACTCACTACCACTGAAACTCTTCCCCACTCACTACCACTGAAACTCTTCCCCACTCACTACCACTGAAACTCTTCCCCACTCACTACCACTGAAACTCTTCCCCACTCACTACCACTGAAACTCTTCCCCACTCACTACCACTGAAACTCTTCCCCACTCACTACCATTGAAACTCTTCCCCACTCACTACCACTGAAACTCTTCCCCACTCACTACCACTGAAAACTCTTCCCCACTCACTACCACTGAAACTCTTCCCCACTCACTACCATTGAAACTCTTCCCCACTCACTACCACTGAAACTCTTCCCCACTCACTACCACTGAAACTCTTCCCCACTCACTACCATTGAAACTCTTCCCCACTCACTACCACTGAAACTCTTCCCCACTCACTTACCATTGAAACTCTTCCCCACTCACTACCACTGAAACTCTTCCCCACTCACTACCATTGAAACTCTTCCCCACTCACTACCACTGAAACTCTTCCCCACTCACTACCATTGAAACTCTTCCCCACTCACTACCATTGAAACTCTTCCCCACTCACTACCACTGAAACTCTTCCCACTCACTACCATTGAAACTCTTCCCCACTCACTACCACTGAAACTCTTCCCCACTCACTACCATTGAAACTCTTCCCCACTCACTACCACTGAAACTCTCTCCCACTCACTACCATTGAAACTCTTCCCCACTCACTACCACTGAAACTTTCCCCACTCACTACCATTGAAACTCTTCCCCACTCACTACCACTGAAACTCTTCCCCACTCACTACCATTGAAACTCTTCCCCACTCACTACCACTGAAACTCTTCCCCACTCACTACCATTGAAACTCTTCCCCACTCACTACCACTGAAAACTCTTCCCCACTCACTACCATTGAAACTCTTCCCCACTCACTACCACTGAAACTCTTCCCCACTCACTACCATTGAAACTCTTCCCCACTTCACTACCACTGAAACTCTTCCCCACTCACTACCATTGAAACTCTTCCCCACTCACTACCACTGAAACTCTTCCCCACTCACTACCATTGAAACTCTTCCCCACTCAACTACCACTGAAACTCTTCCCCACTCACTACCATGTGAAACTCTTCCCCACTCACTACCACTGAAACTCTTCCCCACTCACTACCACTGAAACTCTTCCCCCACTCACTACCACTGAAACTCTTCCCCATCACTACCATTGAAACTCTTCCCCACTCACTTACCATTGAAACTCTTCCCCACTCACTACCACTGAAACTCTTCCCCACTCACTACCACTGAAACTCTTCCCCACTCACTACCACTGAAACTCTTCCCCACTCACTACCATTGAAACTCTTCCCCACTCACTACCACTGAAACTCTTCCCACTCACTACCATTGAAACTCTATCCCACTCCTACCACTGAAACTCTTCCCCACTCACTACCACTGAAAATCTTCCCCACTCACTACCACTGAAACTCTTCCCACTCACTACCATTGAAACTCTTCCCCACTCACTACCACTGAAACTCTTCCCCACTCACTACCAATGAAACTCTTCCCCACTCACTACCACTGAAACTCTTCCTCACTCACTACCACTGAAACTCTTCCCCACTCACTACCACTGAAACTCTTCCCCACTCACTACCACTGAAACTCTTCCTCACTCACTACCACTGAAACTCTTCCCCACTCACTACCACTGAAACTCTTCCCCACTCACTACCACTGAAACTCTTCCTCACTCACTACCACTGAAACTCTTCCCCACTCACTACCACTGAAACTCTTCCCCACTCACTACCACTGAAACTCTTCCCCCTCACTACCACTGAAACTCTTCCCACTCACTATCACTGAAACTCTTCCCCACTCACTACCACTGAAACTCTTCCCCACTCACTACCACTGAAACTCTTCCCCACTCACTACCACTGAAACTCTTCCCCACTCACTACCACTGAAACTCTTCCTCACTCACTACCACTGAAACTCTTCCCCACTCACTACCACTGAAACTCTTCCCCACTCACTACCACTGAAACTCTTCCTCACTACCACTGAACTCTTCCCCACTCACTACCACTGAAACTCTTCCCCACTCACTACCACTGAAACTCTTCCTCACTCACTACCACTGAAACTCTTCCCCACTCACTACCACTGAAACTCTTCCCCACTCACTACCACTGAAACTCTTCCCCACTCACTACCACTGAAACTCTTCCCCACTCACTACCACTGAAACTCTTCCTCACTCACTACCACTGAAACTCTTCCCCACTCACTACCACTGAAACTCTTCCCACTCACTATCACTGAAACCTTCCCCACTCACTACCACTGAAACTCTTCCCCACTCACTACCACTGAAACTCTTCCCCACTCACTACCACTGAAACTCTTCCTCACTCACTAACACCTGAAACTCTTCCTCACTCACTACCACTGAAACTCTTCCTCACTCACTACCACTGAAACTCTTCCCCACTCACTACCACTGAAACTCTTTCTTACTCACTACCACTGACACTCTTCCTCACTCACTACCACAAACTCTTCCTCATTCACTACCACTGAAACTCTTCCTCATTCACTACCACTGAAACTCTTCCCCACTCACTACCACTAAAACTCTTCCTCACCCACTACCACTGAAACTCTTCCCCGCTCACCACCACTGAAACTCTTCCCCACTCACTATCACTGAAACTCTTTCTCACTCACTACCACTGAAACTCTTCCCACTCACTACCACTGAAACTCTTCCCCACTCACTACCACTGAAGCTCTTCCCCACTCACTATCACTGAAACTCCTCCCCACTCACTATCACTGAAACTCTTCCTCACTCACTACCACTGTACTCTTCCTCACCCACTACCACTGTACTCTTCCTCACCCACTACCATTGTAACTCTTCCTCACCCACTACCACTGTACTCTTCCTCACCCACTACCACTGTACTCTTCCTCATCCACTACCACTGTAACTCTTCCCCACCCACTACCACTGTAACTCTTCCCCACCCACTACCATTGTAACTCTTCCTCACCCACTACCACTGTAACTCTTCCTCACCACTACCACTGTAAACTCTTCCTCACTCACTACCACTGTAACTCTTCCCCACCCACTACCACTGTAACTCTTCCCCACCCACTACCACTGTAACTCTTCCTCACTCACTACCACTGTAACTCTTCCTCACCCACTACCACTGTAACTCTTCCCCACCCACTACCATTGTAACTCTTCCTCACCCACTACCACTGTACTCTTCCTCACCCACTACCACTGTACTCTTCCTCACCCACTACCACTGTACTCTTCCTCACCCACTACCACTGTACTCTTCCTCACCACTACCACTGTACTCTTCCTCACCCACTACCACTGTAACTCTTCCCCACCCACTACCATTGTAACTCTTCCTCACCCACTACCACTGTAACTCTTCCCCACCCACTACCACTGTAACTCTTCCTCACTCACTACCACTGTAACTCTTCCTCACCCACTACCACTGTAACTCTTCCCCACCCACTACCATTGTAACTCTTCCTCACCCACTATCACTGTACTCTTCCTCACCCACTACCACTGTACTCTTCCTCACCCACTACCACTGTACTCTTCCTCACCCACTACCACTGTACTCTTCCTCACCCACTACCACTGTACTCTTCCTCACCCACTACCACTGTACTCTTCCTCACCCACTACCACTGTACTCTTCCTCACCCACTACCACTTTACTCTTCCTCACCCACTACCACTGTACTCTTCCTCACCCACTACCACTGTAGGGGTGTGAGTAGGAACTACAGTGAATCGCACCTGACACTGCAAGATGAATGGTTTCTTTGAGATAATATTAGACAATACAAACAGTACAGTCTACCAGAACTTTATTATCAACGGTTGTGGACGACTACACTTGTCTAGCTAACTTTACTCAAGAAATCGTAATGACACGATTGCAAACAAACCATACCCCCGGCCGGGATTGAACCCGCGGTCATAGAGTCTCAAAACTCCAGCCCGTCGCGTTAGCCACTAGACCAGCTAGCCACAATAAGATTCATTCAACTAGGTACATTTCTACACCATAGGAAGGTTAGCACAGGCACCTCTGTGACCACAAATGCAAGTTTTTACAGACGAATCTCCAGCTAGCGTGGCCGTGACGAACTCTAGCTGGTCTAGTGGCTAACGCGACGGGCTGGAGTTTTGAGACTATGACCGCGGGTTCAATCCCGGCCGGGGGTATGGTTTGTTTGCAATCGTGTCATTACGATTTCTTGAGTCATGTAAAGTAAAAGGACACAAGTGCAACTAATGTGACATTTATTGTGGCAACGTTTCGCTCTCCAGGAGCTTTATCAAGCCATTACAGTGAAGGGACTTGAGCTAGAGTTCGTCACGGCCACGCTAGCTGGAGATTCGTCTGTAAAAACTTGCATTTGTGGTCAAAGTGGTGCCTGTGCTAACCTTCCTATGGTGTAGAAATATTCCTAGTTGGATGAATCTTATTGTGGCTAGCTGGTCTAGTGGCTAACGCGACGGGCTGGAGTTTTGAGACTATGACCGCGGGTTCAATCCCGGCCGGGGGTATGGTTTGTCTAGCTAGCTTGCAACTGCTCCTCAGAACAACATATCAGTCTTAGTTCTAAATTATGTATCTAGTTTAAGAGGCGAATACGTAGAAGCACCTAAGTCTGACACTAGTAGCTAGGCTGGCATTTTTAAACTATGTAGGTGTAGTGCAAATTATCGTAACAACCACTCTAGTTACCTTTGTATTTTCTATGCAACTGCTAATAGCTGTATACAGCTGTACATTATTGTTTGTGGTGTTTGTGCGGCTACAACTATGTTGTGAAGAATGACAGTCACAGTACCTCGGCTGAAATAATTCATAACTCACAAATAGGAAATGAAATGTCATCGGTTATTCATTTCCAGTTTGTAAAATAGCAATGAACACTGTTGTGTAGTGGAGTAGACTGACCCGTGCTGGATGTCAACAGCCAACTCTGAGGTGGACCTGGCTCTGAGTGTGGGCTGGGGAGGCTGTGGGCCGACACTCTCTCCTGCACGACGTCGCACACGACGTCGGAACATCTTCACCAGACCTCTCAAACCCCAAAGACGGCGACGCTTGGGCTCACACGCTCCTGCAAAGCCAAACAATAATAAATTATATAACCTGCCTTCACACTTTAATTAGTAGGCGAGGTGAGGGGGCGAGGTGAAAGGGGCGAGGTGAGGGGGGGTGAGGTGAGGGGGGCGAGGTGAGAGGGGCGAGGTGAGGGGGGCGAGGTGAGGGGGGCGAGGTGAGGGGGGTGAGGTGAGGGGGGGTGAGGTGAGGGGGGTGAGGTGAGGGGGGGGGAGGTAGGGGGGGCGAGGTGAGGGGGGTGAGGTGAGGGGGGCGAGGTGAGAGGGGCGAGGTGAGAGGGGCGAGGTGAGGGGGGGCGAGGTGAGTGGGGTGAGGTGAGGGGGGTGAGGTGAGGGGGCGAGGTGAGGGGGGTGAGGTGAGGGGGGTGAGGTGAGGGGGGTGAGGTGAGGGGGGCGAGGTGAGGGGGGGTGAGGTGAGGGGGGTGAGGTAAGGGGGGTGAGGTGAGGGGGGTGAGGTAAGGGGGGTGAGGTATAGGGGGGTGAGGTAAGGGGGGTGAGGTGAGGGGGCGAGGTGAGGGGGGTGAGGTAAGGGGGTGAGGTGAGGGGGTGAGGTGAGGGGGGTGAGGTGAGGGGGCGAGGTGAGGGGGTGAGGTGAGGGGGTGAGGTGAGGGGGTGAGGTGAGGGGGGGTGAGGTGAGGGGGGTGAGGTGAGGGGGGTGAGGTGAAGGGGTGAGGTAAGGGGGGCGAGGTAAGGGGAGTGAGGTGAGGGGGTGAGGTGAGGGGGGTGAGGTGAGGGGGTGAGGTAAGGGGGGTGAGGGGGTGAGGGGGGGGAGTGAGGTAAGGGGGGGTGAGGGGGTAGTGGGTGAGGTGAAGGGGGGTTGTGGTGAAGGGGCGAGGTGAGGGGGGTTGAGGTATGGGGGTGAGGTGACGGGGGTTTGAGGTGAGGTGTGGTAGGTGAGGGGGCGAGGTGAGGGGGTGCGGTGCAGGGGGTGAGGTGAGGGGGTGGTGAGTGGGGGGGTGAGGTGAGGGAGGTTGTGATCGAGGGGGGTGAGGTTATGGGGTGAGGTACAGGGGCAGGTAAGGGTATGATCGAGGGGGGTGAGGTGAGGGTGGTTGATTTGGGGGGTTGATGCTAACGTGGTTTAGGTACTGGGGGGTGAGGTGGGGTTTGAGGTTTTTTTAGGGGTGTAGGTAGGGGTGGTGAGGACGTTAGTGAGGGTGTGAGGTTTTTTTTTTAGGTGGGTTTTGAGGTGTGGTGGTTGAGGTTTTAAGGGGGTTGAGGTGCCGGGTGGTTGAGTAAGGGGGGTGAGGGGGTGACCACAAAGTCTTCAAATAACACATTTGGTGACTGTTGAAATGGTATAAAATAACGACAAGTTGAAGATTAAGACACATGTCCAACAGCTGGGTGTCTTTATTGATGAAACGTTTCGCCTACACGGCAGACTTCTTCAGTTAAATACAGAGACAGCAGGTGTAGTTGTGCTTTTTCTTCAAGGTTGATGGACTGATTATATTATTATCTCACTACTACCATACCCGCTCCCTCTGTATTTGACTGAAGAAGCCTACTGTGTAGGAGAAACATTTCGTCAATAAAGCTACCCATCTGTTGCGTCTTAATCTTCCACATCTTGGGTGGGTTGTGGTAGCAATCTTGGTCTTAACAAAGATGAAGGATACCTGGAGTTGCACGTTATATTATTATTATGTTGGCTTAAAATTCATTTCTCCTTTGTTAGAAACTATGAAGGTCATTTCTGCAAGTCTGGCATGTGCAACACCTGGGTACCTTTATTCTCAAGATATTTCATCAACTATGTCTCCAACTGCTGCATCTCACCTCACGCCTATATAAGCTACCATCTTCTGGCCTGCGCTTCACTTTCATCAAGACTACGGTGGTGAACACTTGCAGCGACGCTCTCCAGGATATCATTACCTTCTCTTCTACTGTCTCCAGTTTCAATTCCTTCGAATAACTTCAGTATCGAATAGATAAAGCAGCTGATGGGTGAAACGTTTTCATAATGAAGATAGTCAGGTGTTGCATATATGTCTTATTTACCAATCTGTCGGTATTGTATACCACGACTGCTATTACTGTCTCACTCTGCATGTATTACCATTCAGTATATAACAGATATATTATTATTCCGGGAAGCGCTAAACCCGCTTCATGCTAATTTGTCAGGTTATTACAAGCTCATTGGCAGGAAGCAAGTCATCCTCCCACGTTCCTCTTGGTTTGACAGGAATATTGTAGAATCATCAATTATTAAGCATGATAAGCATTCATTATACAATACCAGTGACGGGTTATTCAAATTAGATGCGTTTTTGTTGAGGCAACAATAGTATACAGTCTAAAATTGGGCTCTTGTACGATTGCATTAGACTGTCTTAAATGTAGTGCCACACCGAGGAATTAGGACCTATTTTTCCTGCAGTTTCTGAAGGTTGAACCAGAGTTTGCCTCAGAATTATGTGGGTTGAATAACTGTGACCGTCTTCCTTGTAATTACAGATGTCTCCCTCTTTAAATGAGTTCAGTTTAATGAGCCCCATTTCCTTTGTATAATTTACAGAAGTCTCCCCTTTAAATCGTCCCCGTTTTCTCGTCCCTTTAAATGGACCTGCTTTCTCGTGGATGGTTACTTCATAATTTCCAGAGACTTCCATGTCACTGGCAATATAATAATGTATGTAAAATTACTTATAGCGGAGTCTGATGGAATTTGTAATAACTGCCACATTACTTTCCTTTAGGATACTATTAAAACATCAGCGCTTGGGGGATTTTTTCTAATGCTATAATATTCAACCTTTCTAGCTATGGGTATTGGCATGCCTGGGGGCATTTCCTGTTCCCTTCTCTCTCTCTCTCTCTCTCTCTCTTTCCCTCCCTCCCTCACTCCAGTGAATACATCCTCTGGGGTCGCATTAGCTTGGACATCCTCCTTTTTCTGCAACTCTGCAGAAAAGATCTAGAGCTATCGTTATATATATATATATAATATATATATATATATAATATATATAATATATATAATATATATATATATATATATATATATATATATATATATATATATATATACACACACATACACACACACACACACACAGAGTAGTCAGTAAGTGGAATAGTTTGGGAAGCGATGTAGTGGAGGCAGGATCCATACATAGCTTTAAGCAGAGGTATGATAAAGCTCACGGCTCAGGGAGAGTGACCTAGTAGCGATCAGTGAAGAGGCGGGCCAGGAGCTCGGACTCGACTCCCGCAACCTCAACTAGGTGAGTACAACTAGGTGAGTACACACACACACACACACACACATATATATATATATATATATATATATATATATATATATATATATATATATATATATATATATACACATAAGTGAAACATCAGCTCTAGACCTTTCACAATTTCGTCCTTCGTCAGCAGCTGTACGATATTTTTAATTAATTTTTAGCCCAATAATCTAGAAGACTCTAGACTTGCAACAGAGAGGCTGATGAGGTAATTCTCTGTAGAGGTAAGGTAGCATGTCTCACTCTGGTCCATCCCACAAGAGAAAGCAATAGTTCCTCTCTCTCAGATGTCGACAAGGACATAAACCACAGCATCCTAACAAACTTTACTGACGACACCAAAATTTCTATGAGAGTGACGCCCGTCGAAGGCACAGCAAATCTTCAAGAGGATATACATCAGGTCTTCCAGTGTGCCTCAGACAACAGTGTGTTGTTAACAAGGGCAAGTTTCAGCTGGTCCGTTATGGGAAAATGGAGGAAATAAAGACTGAAATGGAATACAAGACAAACTCAAATCATTTATTAGAGTGAAAGTTCCATGTGTGAGACCTGGGAGTAATGATGTCAGAATATCTTACATTCACGAATCACAATGTTCCTGTTGTTACCGCAAGGAAAATGATAGGCTGGATAACTATAACGTTCAAGATAAATGATGCTGAGCCAGTGATGATTCTCTTTTAAGTCACTTGTTCTCTCCAGGCTATTATACTGTTGCAAGCTGACGGACTCCTACAAGACAGGTGAGTGTGTTCAGCTGGATATTGTACAAAGAACTTTCATTGCCTCTAAATAATCAAACATCTGAACTACTTGAAGTCTGTTCAACTGTACTCCTCGGAATATAGGCGAGAAAAGTATATAAATGACCTATGAAAAACCTTGGAAGGACTGGTCCCAAACCTGAGCAATATAATCCCTCCACATGACAAGAGACTTGGGAGACGGTACAAAATACATTCAATAAAAAGCGACAAGTACACTAAGAAAAATGTCGTTGAGTGTCAGAGGTCCCCGACTCTTGAACGACCTCAACTTTGTGCATGCAAGTTGTGTCACCAGTCAAGAATACCTTAATTCCTAAAACAGGGATTAAACTCTCAGTGAATATACAGAGAGAGACACACACCTCACAATGAGAGATACACACCTCACAATGACACCTCACAATGAGAGATACCTCACAATGAGAGACACCTCACAGTCTATATAGAAGGAGAGATACAGATTTCTCAGTGTATATACAATGATACACACGCACACACACACACACACACACACACACACACACACACACAACAGGCCTAGTGTCTAATCGACATGTGCCTAAGACAAAATGGTAACTAACACACAAGGACTCCAGCCACGACACCCCCAAGGCAACTGAACAATCCAAACCAACCATCACACACCGATCCCTCTGTTCCCACCCCCCGCACCACAGTTACAGTATTAGAACAGAAGTTGAAGGTTTGGTACACAAATGCAGATGGATTAACAAATAAACATGAGGAATGGCAAGAAAGAATCAATGAGAAGTCCCCAGACATCATAGCAGTTACAGAAACAAAACTCACAGAGACAATAACAGATGCAATCTTCCCACCAGGATACCGGATCATGAGGAAAGATAGAAGGGGCAGAGGGGGAGGTGGGGTTGCTCTGCTCGTAAAAAACAGATGGAAATTCGAGAAAATGAAAGGCATAGATGAGACGGGAGAAAGAGACTACAT